CGATCTCCACGCTCGCACTTCGTATCATCCCTCACTTGCACCTTGCATCGTCCTCCCCATGTCTGCGTGGCACCCAGTGAGTGGTCCTTGTCCCCCGTGGGGATGATTTCACGGCTTCTGCACACACACACAAACCACAGTGCAGTTGTGACTCCACTCCAGTAGTATTCGAAATGGGATTTCTCTCCTCTTTGAGAACTTGGGGAAACTTTTTGTATTTGAAGGGAGCCCACAAAATGCCTGAGTCCACCATTACAGTACTTACTCTCAGTGCTTAATGTTTTAATGAGTGATCTTAAGAAGCAGCTCACCTTGCAGAGTGCTGTGGCACGCAACTGCAGAAGCTCAGAAGACGTTTTCTTAGCGTTGTTTATTTATTTACTTTGTGTGTCTGATCCATGGAATTGATGGTTCAGTACTGCACAAGACCATCTTGGGGACAAGTCTGTTAGAATGCTCATTGCAAGGATAAATAAAATGCCTCCCCCCCCCCCCTTAGCTGTATAAAGTACATCACTTTTTTCTCTTTTTCCGTTTGGGTTTGTTTTTTTTTCCCTTTCCCAAGCAAGCCAGTGCATTCATCTCTGTCTGAGAAGCTGCTCAAACTAGGATTTCTTGCAGAACAGGTTTAAAATGAAGTCTCATTGCCTGGAGCATCTTTATGAGTAAATTTGTTGAGTACCTTTCATGAGTTTCCCATCTTGCTCTGCATCTGTAGTTTGATGTATAAAAATCTCCTCTGACTTAGTGGGATACACTATTCCTATGCCTTTTGGGGCTCTTCTGCAGCTCAGCCCAAGGGAGGGATGTCATGTAGAGATGTTCTTTGTGCTTGCTGGACATGGTTCTGCAAAATAAATAGTGTGCAGGGCTCAGTGGCATCAGTGTGAAGGACCATATGTGGGCTGTGCAGCTCAGTGATCCAGGGGGGTGGGTTATTTTCCTCCAGAGTAATCCCAGCTAAATCCTGGATGGAATTTTCCCCATTATAAGAAGTTCAGTTGATTTTCAGGGGTGGTTTCATTAAATGTATCACAGTCAAGGAGCAGACTGAATTTCTTCCAGTCTTGCCAGGTGACTTGCCTCAGCATGTGCAAGGATCTGGACTAGCATGAGCATCATCAGGTCCTTCCTTTGCCCTGTGAGGAAAGACTGTGCTGAATCAAGCACAGCAAATACTTGCATCTGGAAAATCCTGCGTGTTTCTATTCCAGCTCAAAAAGCTCAGGTTTCAGTCTAAAATTGGAGGGCTTCACAAAGCTCTGTTTTCACAACAATGTTGGAAATGGTTTAGTGTTGCTACAGAGTGGAAAGAAAAGCATACTTGGAAACTTCAAAAGCTGCCACTGGGAGGAATGTCACCCCATGGCTGGCCACAGGAGCGTGGGCTGCTTTGGTCATGGCACCCAGTGGAAGTAGGAGACCTTGGTTTTCATTCAGCTATTACTGTTACTAAGTAAACTCTCAAAAATCCAGTGGTCAGAAAAGGAGGTAAATATTATCCTATTTCCATGCAGATGGGCAAGTGAAGCCATGGGAGAGCCAGGGTGCAAATGCAAGTGTGTGCTATATAAAGTCCGTTATGTTTGCGGTGTTACCCTGTGCATCACTGCCAGAGCAGCAGCTCTTGAGGAGAGGCTTTGGGCCATGTAATAGGGTTTGGAAATGCAAGTGTTAATTGCTGTCTAAATTATAACTCAATTGAACAAGTTACATTTTACACAAACCTCTATATGTTTTGAGCTCTTGCAATGTCTTGGAACTAGAACATAAATTCTGAATGTGAACAAGGAATGAAATGCCTGGGTATATGGTAACAGCCAGAAAAAAATCCCCACCCTTAAGAAGGCTCTTGTTCAGTATGAATGAGCCCAAGCAGCCTGTCTGAATGAAAGCTATAGAGAAAGTCCAGGGCTTGGTGCTCCCGGGTTAGAGTTAACCACCTTGTGGGCAGCAGAGACCTGTCAGTACAGGACTCTGACACAGTCATGCCTTGGTGATAGCTGAGAATGACTGACAGGACCTACTTATCCTCTTTTTGTTTTTAGCCCAGGGCATGCTAGCTTTTCCTCCAGCTGTCCAGCTTGATTCACTGCTTCCTGCACTCACAGCCTGGCCCTGTATAGGAGTGACCCAGGCAGGCATTGCTTTTCATTTTTTGGTGCAGTATTCACATGGGATACAGAAAAAAACCCCTCTTCCAAAGCTCTTGTGGCATAGAGTTCTCAGGACAGGAGAAAACTTCATGTGGCTCTTCAGCAGCTATAGGCAAGTCTGCGCAATCTGCAGATTATACCCAGTAGCAGAGTGGTGTGCTGGTATCTGCAGATGCAACTGGCTGGAAATAGAGGCCTGACAATGCTTTTATTGACATTTGGGTTGGAAAAAATAGCAGACTGGGAGCTCAAGCCTGAGGCATTTCATTTGGAGTGTGCAGCCTCTGTGCTGAATCCTTGGTTGAAGATTTGTTTAATCAGTTATTGACAGTGGAAGTTAATAGCTGCATCCGGGAGAGCTGGGGCAGTGCTGGTATCGAAGGGCACATTCATAGCCACAGGCATGCTTAAACAAGCTGCTGCATTCAAAACCCATACCATTGATGTTTGCTTCAGCTCAAATAGTCTGGTTCCACTTTATTTTTAAAGCCCAAAGCCCAAATAGCAGATTTTGCAAGTGAAACTCAGTTGGTGCCCCTTGTGCTGTCACACCAGCAATCCAGGAGCAAAGAGCATCACTTCTGCCCTGCTTGTTGTCCATGGCAGCATCATGGGCAGGGAGAGCCCACAGTGTCTTTTACCCTCTGCCACAGTGCAAACGTGCTGCCAGGCTTAACCTGGATATCCTTGCAGAAATTACTCTTGTAACAAAATAAAAGTAATTTACTGTAACAGGAGTCCACTGTGGAAATCACCTGTGTGGAAGGGAGAGATGAGCATCTTCCTAGAATGCTTTAATATGAAAATTTTGGGGAGGGGCTCCCTATATATTCAGATGGAAAAATGGAGATGAGTCTTGAAAAGATGTGTCTAAAGATGTGACTTTAAAAGTCAGCATTTTGGACAGCCAGCTCCATATTTCAGGCTGGTAAAACAGCTATTGCCTTCTGTCTGCAGCAATTCAAGTATTTCCTTAGGAAGATGAATAGATGAACTCTTTGATTAACCAGAAACCATTGAAAAAGGGGGAAGAAAATCAACAGACACAAGCATATTTTAGAGGTTCTCAGTGCACAAAACAAGTTTCTGTCCTTTTTGTTTGTCTTGGAGAAGGAAAAGAAAACAAGACCTCCTTATAGGTGCAGACAGATTTACAGTTTCTCCTGACTTTTAAGCTCCTGGGAGATTCTTTGCTCTTGATTGAACTTACAGTACGTTTAGCATTAAGAATGTTTCAGAACTTCCCTGAACACTGTTTTTGAGTGGAACAACCATTCAGCTCATTTCTGTCCTTTTTGTTTGTCTTGGAGAAGGAAAAGAAAACAAGACCTCCTTATAGGTGCAGACAGATTTACAGTTTCTCCTGACTTTTAAGCTCCTGGGAGATTCTTTGCTCTTGATTGAACTTACAGTACGTTTAGCATTAAGAATGTTTCAGAACTTCCCTGAACACTGTTTTTGAGTGGAACAACCATTCAGCTCACCCTGTCTTGTTCTCTTTTTTGTCTCAATCTCTGCACCAGTGGAAGTGCCACGTCCTGCGAAGAGTGTCTCCTCATCCATCCCAAGTGTGCCTGGTGCTCCAAAGAGGTACGTGGGCAGACCCTGTTTGTCTTGAAGCTTTTTGTGATGCTGGAAGGGAGCTCTTTTCTCACCTTGCCTGTTCCTGAGTCAGTCCCATGCCAGAAGGGGGTGGGTGAGGGCAGTGAGTGCTCCATGCTGAGAGTATTTTGGGTGTATGCAACTCCTCAGCTCTTTGACACCATAGGAAATAAGTCTTTGACCCCACTGGCCCCTATGCATCCTCAACAGAGCAGCACTGTTCCTTTGGTGCTTCTGTCCTTCAATTACCTTCTTGTTTTCAGTGGATGCTGGGTCCCCACGTGGGCTCTGTGATGCAGAGAGCCTTGCTCAAAAGCTCTATCCCTAAAAAGCCCCAAGCCCTTGGCTGGTGTCCTGCTACGTGTCCCTTGTTGCGTGGCCTGTCATGGCATGGGCTCTTTGTCTGTAACAAAGATAATTCTCCTTTCTGAATCTATTGTCATTTTGGGGGGCAGGGAGGGAGGGGCACCCATGCTTCTGGCATCTGTGTCATGCTGTGGTGACGAGTTGCACAGCTTAACTGAGCACTTCAGAGTGAAAATATATCCTTGTGTTGATGCTGAAGATGCTCACCTGTAATTTAATTGCACCTCCTTGTTTGTGAGAAATTGCAAATATCTTTCCTTGCTCTCTAGGAACTGCTCATGTGTTTAGAGATCGGATATATAGTGGATATATAATCCAATATACATCTTATCATGTAGACTTACAATTTCTAGAGAACAGGGTGTGTGAAAGACCTGATGATGTCTGACACATTGCTTGCAATTATCTTCTTAGTGCTTGTCCTAGGTGTTTGAGAGAAGTATGGATGCTTACACAAGCAGGGAAAAACCCTGTTGAGCCAGGAACTGGGTTTGGGCTGTGAGAAACCCCAGAGCAGTGGATGATCTTGAACCTTCCGAGAGGCATGGCCAGGAGTGATGCTCTCCTGTTCTCTGCTGACCCTTATTCCTCTAGTGTGGCTGTCCTGGTCCCATTTTAAGCACTCACTTCACCTTCCAGCTATAGCTGGTGATGCTGAGCTGAGGATGCAGGTGCTGCCCACGTGCTCCTCTGCTGCTCTCATCCCTCCTCCTCCCAGCCCTGCCTGGGGCAGCTGCAGCTCCTCAGAGTGGAGGATGGGGTTGGGGATGGGGATGGGGATGGACATGGGGTCAAGGTCACTCTCAATCCCCACTGACTGTGTCTTGGGATGTACCCCAGCCACTGCCTCTCCAGGTCTACTTTACCGGCTTTTTCGCTTACTTGTAAGCACGGTTTCAGTTCTCCAAGAAAAACCTGGTAACACTGCTAGCACCACACTGCCTGACAGTCTAATAGCTTTCATGGGTTGTTTTTTTCCAGCAAGGCAAATGGTGTGCAGAAGGGAAAGGGTAAAGCAATAGATCTCGCTTCTGAGACATCTTGTAAACAGCTGTAAGAGCTCCTCTTCCAGCCAGCTAATCTGTGGTGGTGAGATGGGATCCAGGAACACTAGCTATTAAGTTATGGGTACCCAATAGTTTGTATTTTTTATTTTTATTTTATTGGGCTTTGTGTTGTTGTTGTTGGGGTTTTATTTTTTGCATCAAAAGACAACCTTTTGCAAAATGCTGCTAGTGGAAATGTTTATCTGGTGGACCCTGTGACCACTAATTGTACGGCAGCCCATGGGACTGGCAGCCTGACTCTTATCTTGCAAACAGGATAGCTACAAAAAACCCAAAATATTCCTAAGTGGAGTGGAGGGGCCAAGAAGGAAGATGAGTGTTTACAGGGAAGTGCTGTAATACTTCCTGACCTTTAGCCTGCAGCAGCTATTTAAAAATACAGTTCAAGGTGTTTCATGCCAAGAGCTACGTGTGTGAAAGCTGCTGTCCCCATTACATGCTACATGCTAAAACTTTGCAAGCTCTTATTCTACTTCCGTATTCTTTTAATTATTTTTTTTAGAATGTGCTGTTTGAAACAGTAATTATTTCTCTTTAGCTGAGATCATCAGGTGAGGTAATGGGATTTCGGAAGATACTTAAAGGTTTTTGACTTCAAAAGCTTTAAAGTAATATTGTAAAATCTTTAAGACCCACTTTCTTTTCGTAGTCATTTCACTGCCTTATTTCCCTTCCCTCTGCTGCAACCTAGTCAGGTATTTATTAAATTGCTCTTAATCTGTTTTCCTTAGCTTTTTCCATTAGCTGTCATTCGCTATCTATGTTGCCTGGGAATGTATGTGCCAGTCACATTCTATAGCTCTGCTGCTGTTTAAATATCAGGAGTAAGATATTGGAGTTGATTCCACAGGTGATAGTTGTGGTGGAACCTCAATCAGCTGATTTGTTCATATTTTGTGCTTCCTTTGCATTTACTTAACAGGTCTGGGAGCAAATGGGGCCAGCTGTTGCAGCTGTTGTCAGCTTTGTCGTCAACAATAATTTTGTCAGGAAGTATATATAGTAGAAGTCTATCACCACACATAACATAATTCTATATAAAATTCTGCATATTATGTGTATATATATTATATATACAGGAAGTGTACAGATGTCTGTAATATGTAATACATATATATACACAAAATACAATTATATATATTATTTCTCTTCCTGTATATATAGACCTTCTCATGTTTCCTTTGGGGAATGACATCACTTGGCAGTGCCATCATACCTGTTTGTTCTTTCTCTCCCTGGGTGCCAGGCAGTGCTGGTGTTGTGAGGGATCTCTCGGCTGTGGGAGAGGAGCAATTCAAACAAGAAAGCTGTGCTGTTTCCCAGAGACAGTCACACTTCATGCAGTCTCCCACCGTGTTGTAACCTCCTTCATCACCCTTTGCACTCCTGGATTCAGACTCTATGTGAGCACAGAGGAGCAGAAAGTCTCAACTCACAGACTGCAAGTAGGGGTTAGGAGAGCTTGAAAGCAATTCTGTGGCTACAAAGAGCCATATCTTGATAGTTTTGCAGGAGAGATAAGGTTCCTTGAATTTACATTGCCTTGAATTGTGAGGGTAAGAGCACATGTATAGATAGATGCAGACATCAGCAGAGTAGTGAAGATGCTATCAGTTTATGACAGTGACCTCCTAACCTGTTAATACAGGGTGCATCCGGTCCACTTGGCTTGATGAGACTTCTTTTTGCTTCTTCTTGTGTTCAAGATCTATGTACCCATCCAAAGGGGTGATGATGGATGAGCTGATAGCAGCTTCTGGTATGCAGCAGACCTAGAGCCCCCAGGGGCTTCTGAGCTAACCACAAGTCTTTGGGCTGTTGGAAATGTGGAAGCAGACATCCATTCTGTCAGCTCATGGAAGAATACCTTGAAAGGCAGGACTTACAGAAGGTGATCTGTTTAAGTGGCACTTAGAAGAGGATGGATCAATGTGTGGCCTAAAACATCACCCAAGCATGCCTTGAAACGGGGCTGTCTGAGGGAAAATGACTCTTGGGGTGATGGAGATTGCTGTAGCCTTTCCATCCATGCTGGAATCTGAGGAGATTCTTCAGCTTCTCCTGCAAGGTCCAGGAGAAGCTGGAAATTACTAGAAATTGCTGACATGCTGCTGGTAAAATACTCTGACTGGAAACTGCACATTGGCCTGTGGGGTTGCTGTGATCTCTGTGGCAGCCTGGGTTTTGTGGGTGGAAGACAAGGACGCTTGGGGTTTTTTAGCAGTGGTGTCTGGTTTCCCAGAGCCAGCAGGGCTTGTTGGGCTTGCTGGGGAGAGCAGGGAGCTCTGGAAGTGACTTCAGTGCTGTCCTCCAAGCTGCCAGGGTAAGTGTGATACACAGGTGGGCAATGGCCCCCTCTTTTCCAGAAGGTGATTTACCCCATTCTCTCCTATCTCAGGAATGTGTGCCTGGAGAATGAGGAAGGAAAATCAAGGATGGTCCTAGAGGGAACATGTCAAGTTTTTTAAAACAGAGAAAGCAGGCATATTTCAGACTGAATTAATGCAGAACTGGATTGCTAAAAGCAAAAAATGGTAGAGACATGCCTAGTCAGGAGTTAGGTATTAGATACAGCCAGTGCTATTCCCCATTTTTATAGCATGAACCAAGCAATTTGTCTTAAAACTGTCAAACTGATGAGCATGTAATTGTCATGCTGTTGTCTCCATTCTCTCTGTCTGCTGGTGTGCATTTGCTTTTGTGATCTTGTTAGCACAGAGGCTGGACTGTGACGTGCCCACCGGGCTGTGAGCAGCCAGCGTTACTGACAAGGACTCGTGGGACCTTCCTGAACCAAAGCTTGTCTGGCAAGAAGCAGTGTTAGGGGTGGTTCCTGATTGTGTGGGGCATCTGCTGCGTTTCTTGCCAAAGCAGGCATGCAGGCAGATGGTTGGCATGTGTCTGGGCACAGTGAATTTGTTAAGTAACTGTGAGGTGTCCTCTGCTTGGAGGAAATTGGTGTTTGAACCAATGTGCTGCGTCTGAGCCGATCTGGGGCTGCCTTTTGGTGTGGTTGCTTATGAGCTATTTGGACCTGTGTGATGCCCTTTACTGCCCAGATCTGCTCTTCCTTTTTTTTCTTTAATTGAAACTCCATGAGCCTTGATTTTCTCTGACACGAAAACTTTGCACTTGAGTTGGATGGTACCTGGTAGACCCAGTTTTGGCTTTGATTTTTGACCTGTGGGTGCACTTGAAGATGTTTGTTTGCTGGGTGCTGTGGCAATTGCTGAGGTTTTCCCAAGGTCATGGTCACTCCCCTGCTCAGTGTTACCCTGCCTGGGTAAGGCATTTTTTTTCACCTCAGGTAATATGGCTTTTCATGGAACAAGAAAAGTCCTGGATTTGATTCGTGCTGCAGCTTAGCAATTGCTGCCCTGTGGCAAGTCCTCTGGGCCCATTTTAGAAGAAAGTTAGAAGTTTAGAAGAAAGAAGAAAATAGCTGGGTCAAGCAAGGGAGACCTATTTGTATACTTCTCTTTAATGTTAATGCCTGGAGATTAACTGAAAGTTCCCAGTTACACTCTTGGGCTGTTCATGTTGGTTTTTGCACAGTGTCCTTTCTCGTAGGTGGTAGTAGAAGTGAGCTGGCAGAGGTGCTTACCTGGAGCAGTGGTCTGGGTACTGGCAGAGCAGGAGAACATCTCCCCACAGATGCCCTGCAGCTGGGTGAACTGCCCCAGGAGAGCACCTGGACCCTGTCGACTTTTCACTGTGTTTAGGTCAAATCACATCCAAGAGAAACTTTTCTCCAAGGCTTCCTGAGATGTGCTGCTCTGAAAGGCTGGGCGTTGTTTTCAGTTTTGTGAGGGATTCTGATTTTTATTTTGTCATGCTGGAGATGATTTAAATAGTCCCAGTCCTCCTTTTTGGAAGTTCATCTGTTTACATGATGCGTTCCAAGAAATTTGTGTTCATATCCATCTGATGTACCGTCGTCGGTTTCTTGGCTGGACCCTGCTGCTGGATGCTGGAATGCAAATCTTGCATTTTTCAAATAGCATTGGGACTTGTAGTGAGAACATGCAGCAGGAAGCGTCTGTCTGTGTCCCAGGGTCCTGTATCTGGAGCTGTCCTTGAGGGACCCCCAGAGCACCCCATGGGGATCTGTCAGGAACAGCTCCCTCCTTGATGTCTCCCCTATCCTCTGTCATGCTGGAGCTTCAGCAACAAGTGAGGTTTTTTCAGCCCCACACTGGTTATTGGCTGCACAGCTGAAGGAGGAGCTGGTATGGCTGCAAGCATCTTCTCTGCATTATTTCATGTCATTTTGGTCCCTCAGCCCTGGAGCTGAAGAGGTTTGTCCCTATTGTTATAGTGCAGAAATAAGTAGGAATCGACTGTTGAAAATCCAGTAAGTTTTGGGCATGTGACTTGTTCCCTTTGGCAGTTTGGGAGAGTAAAAAAAAAAAAAAGCATTCTTACAAATGGCCTCTTTGCAAAAGGCTTCATTGTGTGGCTGGCTGTTCCTGAGTGCTGCCCTGCACAAGGCTGCATTGTGCATCATGCACGGGGCTCACAGCAAGGGCTGGAGCTTGGGGATGGGTGCTGGGAGACTCCTGGCCACGGTAGCCTGTCCTCCCAGAGCAAGCTGCTGCCTGCACCTTGCTGCCTACATCTCTCTCTGCCCGTGGTGGGTATGGGCTGCCTTTGGATCAGCTCCCATGAAGTCTCTCCCACCTCCCTTACTCCCCAGCAAAGCTGCCTTCCCACATCAAACCAGTCTGGTTGTGCTCTGCCTCAGGGATTGCCTGTTGCCATTTTTGTTTCCCAAGTCATGGTGTCGTGCCAAGGCTTGCAGTGCAGCGATGTGAGGGAGAAGGCACATTCAGAGCTTGTCTGCAGACGTGTGGTGTCTCGCCCAGGGAAGAGGGTGCAGGTCCCTGGAGCCATCCAGCCTCAGTCTTCAGCTTCACATCTTGACTTGGCTCTCTCTGTCTGTGGGTGGGTTTGTCCAACTTCCCTCACTGCCACCTCCTTGTCCTCTCTTCTCTCCTTTGCAAACTCCTTTGAGGTGATGCATGTGCATAAAATAATGGAGTGGGCAATGGGCTCTCCATGCAGCAAAGCAAATGCTTTGCCTTGCTCTCACATGGCCCTAGCCAGGGCTGGAAGCAAGTGCCACTGCTGTGGCTTGGGTTAAAACCTAGGCTTAGATTTCTGTTGCAGTGCTCTGTGAGCAAATTCAGTGTTTAAATCCTCACAGAATTTCCTTTGAAAGGCTCAAGGTTCAGTGCAGGCTCCTTCCCATTACAGCCACCACAAAGGACACCAGTTTCTTCTTGTCATCTATTTGTTAGATACCAGCATGTCAAAACAAACCCCCTGTTGTGGGATTGATGTATTCCCCTCCACTTCCCTTTTGTCCTTTTTTCACCCCCCCAGGAGTTCGGCAGCACAAAGTCCATCACATCTCGGTGCGACTTCCTGCAGAACCTGATTGCAAATGGTTGTGCTGGAGCCATTGAAAATCCCAGCAGCAGCATCAACGTGGTGAAGGATGTCCCTCTGAGCAGCAAGGGCTCTGGCCAGAGCCACCTGGATGTCACACAGATCACACCTCAGAAAATCGCCTTGAATTTGCGTCCTGGTGAGTCTCCAGTGGCTGTGAGCCTTATGCTGGCGTGTGTAGGGGGTGAGAAAGGGTGGCCAGGACATGCCAAAAGTGTGTCATAGCTCGTGGCCTTGTAGCCCACTAAATCAGGTCACTGTTGGCCCCTTCCATACCTATGAACTTTGGTGGTACATCATGAATAGGTTTGGGGCTAAGACACATGCCCTTCATGAGAGGACACTGCCTACCCATGACTGTTGCCCATACTAGTCTTAACCCTTGCATGTGTTTAAAATGAACCTGATCAGCTTAAAAATGGAATCACTGGATGGAAGGAGTTAAAATAGCTTTGGATTCTCCAGCAAGCTGACAGTGCATGAGTCTAAACTGAGACAGCTCCTTCTATAAATTGGAAACAAACCCACATATCTGTTTTCTGTCGGTATGCAAAAGAGCCATGGGATCAAGACAGAAGATGGAGATTTGAACTTGTGACTCAGGCCTTGGACTGTAGCCAGGTCCCTGTTTCATTCCCCTGAGCCATCACTTTTCTTCAATCTCTTCCTTTTAATTAAAAATTAGAAGGGAACGGCTCATCTGAGCCTTGTGAGCATGCTTGTTATCAAAAGTTTTTGCATGGTGGGGGAGGCTTTAATGTGGGTTTAGAATTCTTGCAAAAATTTGGCAGCTGATATTTTTGTAGGGGAAAAAATAGCTCTTTATTGCAAAGTTAAGAAGCAAATATAAAAGCTCAATTCATTATAAGCAATTGGTGTGGGTTTCTAAGGCTTACAGTTTGGTGACAGCTCTCACGAGCATACAGAAAAATGCACTATGATGTTTTGCCCAAGAGAAATAGGAGTTTGAGCTGGTGCTGATGCTGCCAGTGCTCTCCCAGAGCTCACCAGTTGCTGCAGGAAGTTTTGTTTTAGCTGTATAGGTTAGATAGTTGTCATGTCATTTAACCTCCTCAGCAGTATGACTGCTGTCATCAGTCAGACCCTCATATCTAAACCAATTTTGATCCAAAGTTAAAAGCAGATACCTGAGAGCAGTCACCACTGTATGCATGTCTAGATGCATGGCTTCTGCCACTGAATGCTGCTGATGAAACAGGTTTTGTTGCCATTACAAAAGGGAGTTGTTATTACTCCTGTTTCTCGAGGCAATCCCCGGCAGAAAGGGCTGGCTCAGCTTCCACGTCTTGCCTCCTGGAGCGGCACCTTCACACACAGTGCCCAGTGCTCAGCAAATTCCCCTTTCCCAATCCCTGGTGTGGGTGCCCACCACTCCAATCTGTGACAGAGTGGGGGTCCATCTCCTCGTGGTTTCCTGGGGTCTGTGCTGTTGGATACTTTGGGCTGCACAGGGCTGGTGTGCTGGTTCTGCCTGCCTGTGCAGGAGACCACACTCATGGCCATCTTCAGTCTTCTTGACAGAGAAGCCCTCCAGGTCTGGGCTGAGCTGCAAGAATCACCCTGAGGATCCCCACAGTGATTCCCACACTGAGCCAGTGAGCTCCCCTCCCCATGCTCCTCTTGCAGAGTACGAGAGTCGTTGCAGGAGGAGAGACATACCTTGATGTTTGTAACAGTATCTCCCATTTTTGCTCTCTTTTTGATGTTGGGCAGCACTCCATCTTCAGGCTGGTGACTTCCTAAACCCTTGTATTAGCAGCCTCAGTTTAAATTAACCATTAATCCTTGAGCTTGAGAGAATGGGTTTCACCCTGTGAACCCCAGACAAAAAGGAGACAATGTTGATTTAATTTTGGGCATGAAGGGTGTACTATTTCAAAGATGAATTCACACAGCATTCTGTGGCAATGGTGATCTTTTATTCTCAGACCACTAAGCAGAAGCAGAAGGAAGCAGATTGTCAATTGTTTGCTGTTCCCACCCAGGCAGTTTGATCTCATTGTCCCGTGGCAGAAGTCACATCCCCAAATCTGTGTCTGTAGCTAAACTCCAAAGGCCTTAAATTGCTGTTCTTGCAGGGCAGCTTTTGGATTGAGCATTTAGTTTTTACAATACTGCTTTTTAATCTCAAGTCCAACTGTAAAACAGTGTGCCCTAGTTAAATGAAAAATGTAAATAATGTAAGAGGAATTAAAAAATGAATAGATGCAATTTGTGTTGCCCATCAAGCCATAAGCTTCACCAAGCAGGAAAAAGAGCTTTTCTTGGCTAAGAATGATTGTCAAATTTGTGTTCTTAAACTGTCCAAAATCAGTTTTTTCCAGTTTATGTACTGCCTCTGTATGACAATGTCCAAGAAACATTTCTCAATCAGTTTTGAGTTTAAAACTTTTCAGTAAAAGCCCTAAGGAGGAGATGGTGGTGACGGTATGTGAGGAAGGAGGGGGCTGCATTACCCTTAGAAGTGTGAGAGTAATACTGTGCACAGAGAATAATAAATTCTTTTGCTCTTACATCTACATACATTAGTGATATTTTATTTGAGATAATTGGTTTGTGCAGCAAGGAATGAACCAGCCACAGGGTCCTGTTGGTTTTGGTGCTTCTCAGGGACTAATAGATTCATAAGTATTAAGAGAAGCATGTTTGATCAGAGCATCCCAAATACCTTTTCTGGCAGGAAGAACAATGTTTTGGAAAGTGAAATGTAGTGAAATCCAGAAGGATAAATCCCCTTTTTCTGAAAGGGCTGGGTATTCCAGAGGGAAAAATAGGTAGGAATGAAAAACACAGGCATGGGACTGAATTTTCCCAGAGTTAAACATATTTTTGCAGCACTGAATTAAAGTCAAGCTTGTAAGCATATTTTTTTACCCTGCAATCAGTGCTAACAGGTTTTGCAGTACATAAATTTTCTTCTTTGTTTCCTCACAAAATGCATGCCAGGTACAGCATCGAGCCCACCTGGAGCACCTTTCCTATGAAAACAGGCTGAGAGAGTTGAGGTTGTTCAGCCTGAAGAAGTGAAGTCTCTGGGGAGACCTTAAAAGCACCTCCCAGTACCTAAAGGAAGCCTACGAGAGAGCTGGAGAGGGACTTTTTATAAGGACTTTTAACGATAGGACAAAGGGTAATTGCTTCAAACTGAAAGAAGTCAGGGTTAGATTAGGTATTAGGAAGAAATTCTTTACTGTGAGGGTGGTGAGGCACTGGCACAGGTTGCCCAGAGAAGCTGTGGGAGGCCCATCCCTGGAAGTGTTCAGGACCAGGTTGGATCGGGCTTTGAGCAACATGGTCTAGTGGAAAGAGACCCTGCCTGTGGCAAAGGGCTGGAATGAGGGGATCTTTATGGCCTTTTCCAACCCAAAACATTCTTGGATTCAATATTCTATGATTTGGTTGAACCTGCTCAATAGCTTTGCTTACTGTAGGGCCAGCGCTGAGCTGCATCCTGCTGCACTCTGCATCTCAGCCCTGTGCCAGGAAAACCCTGCTCCTGCAGAAAAAGAGAACAAGGAGGAATATTTATGACATGAGTTTCCACTTCCTACAGCTAATACCTGGGCAATGTGTACATGTGTATGTTTGCACATGGTGCCTCACATGGTCCTGCCTTTGCCAGGTGGGGTTGTAGCAGACTGCAGGGAAATGGTTAAATAGAGGGAAGGTGTTGGTTGAGGAGCTGCAGTTGACTCCTTTGGTACCCCAGTACCAAACTGCTGGGGATGGACAGAGAGCTGGCGGAGCAAAGAGTAGATCCAGATCTAAACCTTTCCCAACCTTGTTTGTGGAAGAGGCAACCTGTGACCTCTATGCATCCCCACTGGGTGCTGGCAGATCCTGGAGCCAGGGAGAGTGTTTGGCCCCGCATGCATCTCAGTGCAGCTGACCCCAGGTGCCAGGCAGGGCTCCCGCCAGCCAGGCTGCAGAGCCCCTCGTGCTGTGCCTTGCCAGCATGGCAGTTTTGGGATGGTGTTGCTGCTGTTGGGCTGGAAGTAAGTGGGAGCAGCTGTGAGGCTGTGCACAATGAGGAGAACAATGAAGCAGTTAGGGAAATGCTTTCACATTACTAAAAAAATGTGAGTTTTATTTCGGGGGAGGAAGAGGGGAAGCCACAAGTGTTTTGCAGAACCTGCCAGTGCCCAGAGTGCAGCATTGGCCGTGAAGGGCTGGGAGAGGGCAGGAGGGGGAGCTTGGTCTGAGACCACACTGAGCTGGAAAAGGGGCCAAGGTAGGGACATAGGATCTCTGAACTAGCTTCGGTGTGAGACTGCTGAAGTCTGGGGTTTCCATTTAAACACTTCTCTCAGCAAAGCAAAAGGCAAACCTTTGCCATCTCCTGTCCGGCTCCACCAGGGTCCATCTGGTGTCAAGCTGAGTTCACTTTGAAGCCACTTGACATTTTCTGAGGTGTGGGTGGTGCCAGCATTGGCCTCCCCTAGCTCCCCTTCTGGAGGGCAGCTGTTGGGCTCGATGATCTTTGAGGTCTCTTCCAACCTAGCTGATTCTATGATTCTGTGATTTTCTAGTGAAACCGGTCTGGCAAATGGGAAGTTCAGGGAAAGACTTTCCTCTGCATCTCTTCTGATTTGCACAGCCTGTGACTCAGCCCTGTCATCCCTTTCCCTTGAGTTCATCACTTCAGGAAGCTTCACCTCTGCCTCAGTGCTTTCCTGGGTGACCCTAACAATCCTCTTTTTCCAGTGCACTTCCCTTTTGCCCTGGTGGCATAGCTCTTTTTTGGGGGTGGGAGAGGTCCTTTTTAAAGGTGTTTCTTCTGTGTCTGTTTTGATTTGACTTCACTGCACAGCCCAGAAGACACCTTGCATCCACCTCATGCTGGCTGTTTGCTCTTGACCATTTTCATTCTCCTGCTCCAACTCCTTCTCTCTTTTGTGCAGAACTTCTTGGACTGCTCTTGGTTTGCTTTGGGGACGTACCCAGGCAAGTGTGGGCAGGGTTCCTGTCTCAGTAGTCCATGAAACATCCATTTGAGGTTTACTCTGCTCACTTTTCTTTCCAGTTTTCTAGGAAAACATCCATGGACTGTACACAGCCTGGGGCAGCAGCATTTTTCATGTGTGCCCCTCTTAGGTGCCCTCTCAGATAAGATGGAAAGACCCTTTCCCTTATCTCCAAAGAGTGAAAATAGAGACATGCACTCCACAGATGTGTCTTTTTCTTGCCAACCAGTACACTACATAGCTTAAGGGGACCCAAAGTCAATACCTGCTTTCTTGTAAGACTCCAAAGGGATGGATTTAGAAAAGCTTATTCCCATCACTCTCTTCCTTTGCAAGTGATTTGTCAGCTCTGCAGGGGGGGAAAAAAAAAGCATGTGGTCTGGATTTTGTGTGCTGGGAGTTTCCTTTTCACTATTTTCAACACTTTTGTGTGTGCAGGTGACCAGACCTCCTTCCGAGTTCAGGTTCGGCAAGTGGAGGACTATCCTGTGGACCTCTACTACCTGATGGATCTCTCCCTGTCCATGAACGACGACCTAGATAATATCCGCAATCTGGGGACCAAGCTGGCTGAAGAGATGCGAAAGCTCACGAGCAATTTCCGTCTGGGATTTGGCTCTTTTGTGGACAAAAACATTTCTCCTTTCTCCTACACAGCACCAAGATACCAAAACAATCCCTGCATTGGGTGAGTGGTGTGTGCCCTGAAGGGACAAGCCCTGTGTTTGCACAGAGCCTGGCTGCAGTCTTCACTTCCATTCTTGCTTTAAATAATGAATGACACTTCAGCCCCAGCTTTTGGGAATGCTGATTAGCCATGGCTGTCACTGTGATACTTGAGCAATTCAAAACAGGACAACTTCCAATTTTCCTATGGCTGTTGGGAGATCTCTGCATCTAGAAACGGGGAAGTTGTATTGGGAGCCCGAAGGTATTTTTAAGTACCTGAAGAGGATGCAGGCATAGAAGGCTTTTTTTGCAGGCATTTAAGAGCCAGAGCCAGAAATTTTTGATCCTAGCTCTGAGTCATAGTTTGGCCTTGAGTAAATCAATTATGCTTTTTGTTTGCACATTACAGATAAGGAGACCAAGGTAACGTAAATCCTTCCCAAAAGAAGTGTTTGGGGCAACTGAGATTTGTGACAGCCTGTAGTGCTGATTAATGAGTTCTTGTGGAGTGTTTTGAAGGCATCAGGCAGGCTTTTTCCTCTTTATTGCTGTGGAAGAAAAGTAAACTGGCACTTGCAGAAGACACAAATGATGTAGTTTGCTTTGTGGTGAGTTTTCAGAGTTTTCATCCCTTTTTTCCTTTTTTATCTCATTAGTGTCTTTGCAAGAGTCTTTTTGTTTGCCTTTAAACCACCAGAGTTGGGATCAAGTCTTTTGAATTGGGGATTGTGCCAAGGTGAAATTGTTTTTGATGGAGAATGTCCAGGCACAGGTGAATTTGGATGTTGGCATCAAAGGATGGATACAGCAGCAAGTGCCCTCCTGGGAGAATGCCACGGTTGATACTTATCTTTGTAGTCCCCATCTTCACCTTATCCTTCTGTGGGGTGCTTTCTAGTCATGTAAGGACAGTAAGGTTAGTACTTTTATTTGAGCCATTTATGGATACTTACATCGTAAGATCACCTCTAGAATGGATGCCAAGCTCTGTGCATTCTTTAAGTATGAGAGGCAACTAAAGAGAGCTAGCATGAGCTGTGAGTTTCTAGGCCAGCTTTTGGCACTTACCAGGCATTTGGCATTTCATTGCACATTGACTTGTTTACCAGATAAAATTATCTGCATTCTTTTTTCACCAGTTCTGTCCAGATAGGAAAGTCAAATAGATTTGAACACTGAAAACTCATGCTTTAACCATGAGGCCAAAAGTGACCACATTTACTGAACCAAAAATGTGCTACAACGGAACAGCATAGCACACTCTTCATAGTACTTTTCCCAGAAACTTGGCATGGCCTCTGAGGTCATGGTTCTCAGTCATCTGTCAGCCTCTAACACCAAATCATGTTGCGCATGGGCTGGGGACAGGGTTTAGCTCCAGCTGGAGAAATCTCAGAAACTTTGCTTGGCTGGTGTGTGATTGAATTGGAGTGACGTGGCTTTTGCCAAGGGAAATAGAGTGAAATATGGAGGAGGAGAGGGGTGGGAAAGGAGGAGAGGATGGAACTGGACAACTCAGCAACAAGGCATACCTAAACTACCTTTTATCACAGGCATCAAGAGCTGTCACTTCAGCTTTTCCTACCATGCTCAGGCTCTCTGCATGTTCTTTTGGCTTCACCCAGCTGGTTGATTTTTTTTCTATCGGTTACTTTAAGCCAACCTGGTCTTGGGGAAGCATGTAGGAAGGATTGCGTGAGGCAGCTTATCTGGTGGGTGCTTCCTTCCAGTTGCCATATGTCTTCTCTTCATCCAAACCAGGGGTGTTGGCTCCATGTTCTCCAACGGAGTCTCCTTCCCCTGTTCTCTCTGTGAGTGGGCTCTGGCTGCTGCCACTTGGCTCACTGACATTGCATCGAGGTGGGTTGTCAGGTGTGGTTTTGTTTGCAGCTCTTTCTAGTGTCAAAACAGACTGCTCAGTGTCCTGCTTCCATCTAAGAAAGGCTGCAAGTAAACATGAGCGGTGGTGGGTGCTTCTTGCCCGCAGTCTAGGCTTGCCTCCTCTTCCTTCTGGTGTTGGCTGACTTGCAGGTTTGTGTGGGGTGCAGCCCTGTTTTTCTGAAGGGTCTGGTTGGGATCCTTAGTGCTTCCTCCATCTGACTCCAGCTCTCTGCTCCCCCCAGCTCCTGACACAGCATCCTGACTGTGCCTGCCCCGGGAGCCAGGACGTGGCTTCTTGAAGCCATGGTGTCATTCACAAGAAATGATAGTATGAAGGAAACAAACACTAAATTAAAGAAGATAAGGAAGGCTGAGGGACTGACTCTACCCCTAATTGCCCGTCTCTCAGTGATACGACTTGTGGAGGTTACAGCCCGAGATAACCCACCCACATTGCTGCGTGCTCTTGTGCAGTCACTCAGCTCTGAGGCATCTGTCATGCTGCTGCCTGCAGCTTCTGCCAGCAAACCTGGAGTATGAAACAAACAGAAAAGGATTAAATTATACATCTTCATGGGAGGTGAAACCCCGCAGCGTGTCAGTGTTTTCTTTGTGTACCAGGGCTCTGACAAACCAAGCACACGGATATATCGTACGGACTAAGGGCAGCTGGCTGAGACTCTGCAGTGCAGAGGTTTCAGACGTTGCAAACTCCCTTGCCTTGACCCTGGGTGCAAGTGGGGTGCAAGTCTGGACATGGGGCTGATCCTAAGGGGTGGCTCTAATTGCTAGCCATGCCCAGCTCAGTGGGACCTGCCCTGTGGTTAGGTGTGTGAGTGAAAATCCCTGCTCTGGGGTCCCTTGTGAGGGATTTGAGTACACAGTGGTGGTAAATCTTAAACACTCCTTTGTGCAAAAAGCCTCTTACCTATAGTGGGTCATGTGTCAGCAGAAGCTTTTAATTGTTCTCTGGGTTTTATCTTTGAAGATAAGAGTGAATTAGTGCCAGCCCAACTCCTTTTCAAACACATTTCTTCTTAACCCTTCTCATCCCTCTCTCCTGCACATATTCAATGATTTCCCACGCTGCAGGAACTGCTCTGCTGAGCTCTCATGGCCATGTGGTGAGCACCAAAGCTGCCTTGTCATGGTTTTGTATGGAGAAAAAAATTTTCCCGGTAGCCTGCTGAAGCAATTCTCTGCCTTAGGGTGCTCCTCCTACCTTTCTGCTTCAATGGCATCCTGGAAAGCAGAGCTGGTGTTTGCTCACTGGCCTGCAGGAAGAGTGGGAGGATGCATGAGCTGGTGTTGTTACACCTCATTTTGGGCAATTGCCAGGGGCCTGGTTATATGCAATGGGTGCAGGGTGGCACATACCGTCAAGAAAACTGGATGACTAAGTGAAAATGCATATTGCAAAATAGGGGGAAGGTAGCTCTCAGCGGTGTTTCTCCTGCATGGTGCCCTGACACCAGCCCACCAGTTTTGCCTGGCTGCTGGGGAGGTTGGCTTTGCCAAAAGGCCCCTCCATATCACATCGAAATGGAAGTGTCCAAAACATAAAGCATTTTGAAAGTATTTCAACCCTCTGAACAGAATTTTGGAGACCAACCTGATAGAGCTGGGAGCTTCTGCAGCTCTTGGCTGCTGGTGTGGTTCCTCCTAGCTGACCACTCCTCTGTTCCTCCTGCAGTTACAAGCTGTTCCCCAGCTGTGTCCCATCCTTTGGCTTCCGTCACCTCTTGTCCCTAACGGATAAAGTCGACCGTTTCAATGAAGAAGTCCAGAAACAGAAGGTTTCTCGCAACCGAGATGCTCCAGAGGGTGGCTTTGACGCGATTTTGCAGGCTGCTGTGTGCAAGGTGAGTCCCTCTAATCTCAGGGATCTAACAGCAAAGCAAAAGAGGATGAGGAGGTTTCTTCTACTCTATTCTTAGACCAGGGTGAAGCTTCAGTATGCTACTAAATTTTTCTTGCAGAAACTGTGAAAAATGCCTTGAAAGGTAGAGGTTATTGTTTTTGTGTGCTTTTGTAGATGAATAGGCAAAGGAAAAAAAGATTTGTGCTTTTTCCAATTTAAAGGGATAAAAATGGAGCTTTCCAAATGCAAATTTAGGGCTTAGATTTCATCATATGGTTAGACTTGTAGGTGCTGATCCCTGAGAACCTGGACAGACTCACATATACTTGTGTGCAGCAGCACTGCATGTCAGCTCAGTGCATTTCTTAAGTGTGTGTCAAACACATCTTCCACGGTTGACCCATGTTGAGGGTTGGAGCTGGTTCCTACTGCTCATACCTGCCCCCTTGGTGTATGGAGCTGGATGATCACACCTCCGGGCGCTGATAGCCTGCTCTCCCTCTTTGTCAGCAAAACTGGAGGAGAGTTCATTAGGTTGTTGCCATGTTAGCCATGTCCTTAGGGTTTTTGGAGATGCTTGCTTGAATATGTTTCTGGAACAAATAGGTGGGTTGCTTCATATCCCATTTGTCTGTCATGGATGGAAGTGTTGGCTCCACTCCAACATGTGTCTGAGTTTCCTTGCTTACCAGCAATAGCTCTGTTTGCTATTTCTCCTCTTGTCATACAATTTTGTTTTTTGTTTGCTTCAGCCTTGTGTAGTCCTTACGGTTGGGCATGTTTTCTTCTGGGTCTGAACTATGGGAGCCGGGAGATAGGCATCATCTGTGGGAGTGATGAGATGCAGGCATGTGGGAAAACAGATCTTTCCTCACCTGGGTTGGCTTCATTTATGCTTCACGGTCTTGGCAGGACTGAACATGCCTTGTTGGATCTGATGCCACCTGACAGACATCTTCCTCCTCACAGCCTAGCACGGATATTGTTGTTGGCACAACTGCAGTGCTGCTCCCAGTACTTGTTTGGGTATAGAGTATTTCTCGTTTTTGGGGAGCTGATTGTCATGGTTAGAGCAGGGACGTCTCAGGATGGTGACTTAGTTCTGTCACCCACTGTATGGGTTTTTGCAGTCCCTTCTACCATGTTATTGCAGAAACAAGACAGCATTTCCCTGTGGTGCAGCAATACTTTAGTGTGTATCACAAAAGCTTATTTTGGAGGTATTGGTGGAAAGCAGGAGACCTGCAAGATATTTCCTGCACATGTTGGTAAGGACCAAAGTCTTTGACTGTCATTCTTGAGTGCAGAGCCTGGTCCCTTCTAAATTCAGTAGATGAGTTTAGATGCTGGCACCATCTAAATTCAGGACTGAGCATTCTCTAGGAACTGTGAGCAAAGGTGAGCATATGCACATGTGTGGGTCTTTGCATGATGTGGCAGGTCATGACAGAGGAATTTCTGCAGCCACAGCAGTTAATTAATTCCTGGAGCTTGGCGGTGGGAAAAAAAGTCCATGGGACTGACGTGCAAGACAGGAGAACCAGTTGTACCATGACTTGCGCTACCTTGGCAGCCTCTTGATGTGGGCAGAGCAACTGCCTCTGATCTCAGCTATGAGCAGCAAAGACTGTCTATACAGAGTTTAATAATTTTAGGCCATGTAATTGACATTAGGATGTTCGGCCCTGTAGTCAAAATGGGAACTTAGTGCTTAATTTCACTTGTGGTCACCAAGTGATGGCCCAAACTGGTCAGTGGCATTGGGCTGTTGAGGTGGGTGAAGGTGGTGGACATCTGGGGTGGCAGTGAAGTGCTGCTTGCTGATGGGGATGCTCTTTGCATGGTGTTTTGCATCCAGCAGTGATTAGTGGAGTCTCGTGGGGACTATACCCTGCACAGACAGTAGTTTCTAGTAACTCAGGAGCTATATCCCCATCATGTGCGGAGAGCAGCATACAGAAACCTTGGTGACTTTTAGGATGGGATTCCTCATGAATACTGTGGGACCCCATTGCATCTTGCTGGTGTGCTCCAGATTTTTCCAGCTGTCACCCTCTCTGCCTTATTCAAACCCCAAGATTTAGGGCAGTTATGACTTTAGAAAGTTCCCTTCCTTGAGGCAGTGCAATGTGTTGACCATGAAGTACTTTGTGCTCAGCAGCAGTTTGTGGCATCAAGGGGTGTCTGAGCATGGTCTTCTTCTCTCCTTCAAGCACTGAGGTATCAGAAACAGTATCTACTCTGTTAACTAGGTGTTTTTATACTGCAATTCATATCAAGCATTTCTACTGCATGAGCTGTCTAAGAGCTCTGTAGTGCTCGAGTAATTGTTTTGGCCTGCTTTACAACCCAAGGAGTGGGGAAAGTTTGTACAGCTAATACAGACTAATGAGCAGGCCCAGGGTTTGGCTCCTTTCTGAAGGATGAAGATATGGTAAATATTATTCTGGAGGCAATGAAAGAGCCAGAGACAATAAGCCTTTATCCTGATACTAAAATAGTAAGCCAGGAATATTAATCAACCTTCTGTAATTACATTTTCCAGTTTTCCATTGCAGTATTTTGGTTTTCTGCCATTCTTTAAGTGCAAGCTTTGTATGACTTGGTGGTATGTATAAGTTTCAGATCTTATACGCTAAGCTGCAGCAAGGAGATAATGCTGGATTAGAAAATAAAGTGTCTTCTGAAATGTTTTTGATTGGTGCTTGCTAGATGTTGGAACTTGGAGATGGCCAAGACATTTGGGAGGCACAGATGTCTTTCAGAGCTAACTAAATGAAGGAGGTTTTGGATTTTAATCTCTGAGGCATACTTGCCTTGCTCCTGTACCTGTTTCTTGCTTCCAGAAAGGTCTGCACATGAGAAACTGGTGAGGTTTTAAACATATTGATGAACACAGGGGGATCTCCCAGGTGTTGATGTCTTGTCAATTGAACTGATTTTATTCAATACCCAAAGCGTAAATTTAGGTATTTATTTCAGGCACAGAAATTCTGATCATGGATTTTGCAGCATTTTCAATAGTATTTGGAGGACTGTGCTGTGGCAGTTTTGCCAGTCACTGTTGGCTGTACTGAGTAAGAAGCTGGTTTTTTGGGGTATGGGAGGCAACTGCAGCTGGTTGTAGGAGTGGGGGCAGGATCCATAGCATTCCCAGCCCCGTGAAAACATGCCTTCCCACCTTACTCTGCTTTGGGTCTGGTCCCACCTCTGCTTTCAAAATCCTTTATATCCCATGAGGATCAAAAACCAGATGAGGGGGCAGGCATCAGTGCAGGTTTCTTTGTTCAACAATCCCAGTCCAATAAAAATAAATGAAAATTTCCTTGGTTATTTGTTTTAAGTGGAGCAGAGTGCTGCTCTGGGTTGCTCACTGGAAACTGCATGCTGAAGAGCTGTATTTTCCAGCGCCTGGAAGCTGCTGGCAGAGGCAGCAGGAGATGCAGTGGCTCCTCGGTATGCCAGTCCTCTGGGTGCTGTTTTCATAGGTCTGCAGCTCTTTTGGTGTGGCATCAGCACCAGCTTGGCCAACCCATCCCAAATGCCTCGGTCTGATGCTTCGAGGCATCGAACAATTTCAGTGCCTGGATATTGGCACTGAAAGTTTGGGTGCTTGTTGCTTTTTGGAAATGAGTTCCTGAACTGAGAAGCCAAAGCAGTTTTGATGTTGTTGATATGGGGAAAGTGTGTGTCAGAGGCATGGAAAGTTTGCTGGCAAAGGGATGCTTAACCTGTGATTTAAATGTGGACTTAGCAGGCAGGTGACCCCAACATCACCCCTGAAGTGGCTTTGTAACTGTGTCTTGAATGGAGCTCCTTTTCTTTGTGTGTAGCACATTTTTAAGGAAATGAAACTCAGATTAGTCCTTCTAATCTCTTTGGGAGTTTCTTGGCCTCGATCATTTAAAAAGAAATCAGCTTTGGATACTCAAAGAAAAGTGAACTGGATGGGCTTCTGTCTGGCGGCTGAGTAGAATGAGAACTGCCTCTTGCATTGTTAGAGCTGTAATCACTTTTGGGTTGAGTTCTTAAGAAGTTACATTTTGGCATGAAGTTTCAGCCTTTTGTCCAATGGGGTAACTTCAGTGGAATGAATCCTGCTTCCCAGAGCAAAAATTTCCTCACCACTTACTGGGCTGGACTGTAATGTGGTGGTGCATGGCAAAGGATGTGTGTTGCCAAAGATTTCTTCCTATGGCCTTATTTGCATCATGTGGGTCTTTAAAGTACCATAAAAGAAAAAAACCCTTCTGAAATAGGGAGGAAAAAGGAATCTACTCTGGATTAGTATCTCTGAAGCAAGAGTTATATTTATCAGAAAGATCAGCAGGCTTTGGGCTATGACTCACACTGGAGGTGAAAGTTGCACTGGAAGATGTGACTCTGCATCCTTCTGCCTGCTCTGTCCTCCTGCCCTGCCCACACCAGTGCTTTCCAGAGGAAGTGCCTTTGCTGCTGAGCTGTGGCAGCTTCTGGGCACAGGTTTTGCAAAATAAGATGAGCAGTAATCTCTGGAGGAATCTGGTAACTTTGCACCATGTTCCTATCAGTAAGCTTTTACTAGCTTTTCCATCATCCCTTCCAGAAGGATGTGTGGTGTTGCTCTGAGCCAGGGGCTGCAGAGAAGGGGGATGCTGGAAGTGTGCGTGGAGAGAAGGTATGGGGCTGCATCTTTGCTGGCAGATGGGAAGGGTGGCCAGCCCAAGGGGAAGCTCCGAGTGATGGGGCTTTTTGGCTCCAGTCTGTGCCATGGCAGGATCTCCCTGCTGTGGTTGGCAGCAGGACCCCAGCCCACCCAGCTTGGCAGTGAACTGGCAGCAGGAGCAGGCGGCAAGCACAGGGGAATTTGCTGCAGTGCTGTGGTTTCCAAAAGTTTCCTTGGGGCATCTGTTTCTTTCCACTTCTATTGCAACAAAGTGCTTCAGTGTGCTGTTGTAGGCACACTGCTAGATCTGCATCTCAGGCCAATGCAAAGTTGGAAACCTGGGGAAGCTCCATGGCAGGGGAATGTTCATAATATAAATCTTATCCCTTTCCTTGAAAAAAATCTGTCCCTGCATCTCTCTCCATGCAAAGATGGTGATAATGTCTGATCCTTGCGCAGAGAACAAGGAGGGTTCAGAGGACACTTCCTGTGCTGTGCTTGACACCTCAGTGCTTTGATCGGGACCACTAGAGCATGTCTTGGTATTACCATGTTTTTAAATGGGCAGAAGTTGCTCAGAGCAGAGCTGTGTGGGGCAGCTGTGTGTGGATTAGAGCATCAATGCCAAAGGTCCTCTGCCACGCTCTGCTCCGGCTGTGTGCGTCCCTGCTCTTCTGGGCTGTGGTGCAGCTGTTTGGGCCACATGCAGAGGTGCACAATGAAGTGGCAGAGGTGGAGTTACCAAGGCTTCCAGGAGATGTGTGCAGAGTGCCTGTGTATGAATGTGGGTGCAGCAAAGCCAGCCCTCTCAGGCAGGGACCTCACCACCCATCACAGCTCAGAAACAGCCTTTATGAGCAGGCAGTAATGAAAATGCTGAGCAGGGATATTGCAGCTCTTGCTGGTTGCCTTGGCCGCTCCACAGAGCTGAGGAAACAAGGTCAGATTAAATGTGTGTGGAGGAAGTTGGCAGGTCTCCTTTGGCTATAAAAGCAGCTGAAATTCTTATTCTTGGATCTGTGTAGAGGTCTGGTGGACAGTCCACATACCTCCTCATGCCTTTTAAAGTAATTGTGTTGGAAGGAGATGCTGGGAAATTCTGGATGGGCTCCTGACATTCTGTTTTCTTACCAGGGATGGGTGGACAGGAACGTGGTACTCTCCTAATTAGTGCTAATGGATCTGCTGCTGGCCAGGCACGTGGCTGGGACCATGTGCAGGGTGAGGGTTGAAGCGTGGGCTTGGCAGGAGCAGACAGTGTGTCTCACAGGGTTTGTTTCCTCCCAGGACAAGATCGGTTGGCGTAAGGAGGCATCTCACCTGCTGGTCTTCACGACGGATGATGTGCCCCACATAGCCCTGGATGGGAAGCTAGGGGGGCTGGTGCAGCCCCATGATGGCCAGTGCCACCTGAATGAAGCCAACGAGTACAGTGCGTCCAGCCAGCTGGTGAGCAGGACACGGGCCCAGCCCTTAGAGACCTCAGGGTGTTGGCAGACCTCTCTGGAGACCAGCCAACTCCCACTCCAGCAGCTTTTGGCAAACAGAGCACCTGACCAGCCTGTTTTCACCCAGTCCTGCAATTTGCAAATAAAATTTGCTGTTCCCCTTAGGCATCTCCTCACAGTGAAAGCTTCTGTGATGCTCAAAAATGAGTTAGGAGCTTAGTGAGTTCTTTCAGGGCTCATTGTAAGGCAGGGAAAAGTAACTTGGTGCCCTGAAGAGTATTAGATTTTGCCGACAAAGTGCAGAGGAAATATGTTATCCCTTTTCTGAAATGTAAAGTGTCTGTCAGCTTCTTCCTGAGGAGGCTGCATCTACTTTGAGGTGGCTATATTAGCAAGTACAACAGAATGCTCCTCTTATTCCCAGCCTCTGAGCACTACACTAACATCAGTCTTAGTAATGAACAGGCAAACTAGCACTTCTTAAAAATTTAGCTCTTTGGAGGAAATTTTTGGGATGAGTGAGCACTTGCCTGCCATCTCATAGTCACATCCTTCAGCAGATCACAAATGCTAATTATGATTTTTGTTCCTGATTGGATGTCACACTGTGAGAGGAGGTGAATCTGGATGTCTGTGTTGTGGCCAGAAGCTAGGCTCTGTGTTGGAACACCCTTTGCACTCAGCTGTGCAATCCTAGCAAGTGTATACACACATAGGGGAGCGCTGTCCCTGTATTGATGTGGAGTTAATTCTGAGGAGCTGGCACGGGGATGCTACCTTGGTATTTCCATGTTTGAATCTCAGAGGCTCTCAATCAGCCCTCCAGTTGCAAGTAAATGAGGTGTTTTTTTCCAAGGACAGCACTTTAGAAGCAGGCAGGGGCTTTAACTTCAATCTGGTTTCTTGAAACTGAGCGCTGGTTCATTACTTTGTTGATGTAGGTATCTAGAGCAGTATCTCCCTGTCATCCTTTCTGTCTGGAAAATCTGCAGAATTAAAGAGCTCATTGTAATCTCTTTATGGTCTCAGTATGCAGAAAGAGCAGGCAATGGATGTTTCCACTTTGGAGGAAAAAAATCCCACATTTCCACTTACTGCAAATCTAGGTTGCCCTGCCTTGCATCCCTGAAGGTTGCAGCCAGTTAGCATGTGTGTCTGCTGACAGCAAAGCAGAAAGGGGAAAGAAAGAAATCCAGTGTTTCAGGTATTGCTGTAGCTAATGGTGTTGTCAGTCACATATTCTAGTGAAGGGTGCAGCAGAAATATTTAAGGGGTTTCTACTCTTTGAGTTTGGGATTGCGCTGGTATATCAGGGACTTCATCACACAGAGAAACATGCCATGTGCGTGGAACAAATTTTGCTGTCAGGAGAAGAGCAATGAAATTAGTCTTTGTTTCTTTGGTATGCATCAGTCTTTCTGTCCTTCTTTTCCCCCTAGGATTATCCTTCCCTGGCACTTCTTGGGGAGAAACTCGCTGAAAACAACATCCACCTGATTTTCGCTGTTACGAAAAGTCATTACGTCCTGTACAAGGTAAGCACTTCCAAGCTGCCCAGGCATGGGGGAGACTGAAATGCCTCCTGAGAGCATCTTCCTGCTGGCCCTGGGGAGCAGAGGCAGCCACAAACCTGCATGTGTGCAGTGGCAAACACATGTATATGCAGTGCTAAGTGTGCACACACTTGGCTGCATACTGCCTGGTGCAGGCAGGTGAGGCTCAGCTGCCGTCCCTCCCTGCTAGTCCTTTCAGGAAAAACCACTAAAGCTTCTTAGACCAAACAGATATGTGTTAGTGAGCATGTGAGGACCTAAAATAGACTCCAGCTTAATCTTGATGTTCGGACTGCTGCCAGCGTGCAGCATGCCAGAGAGCAGAAACCTGCTCAGCCCATTCTGCAGTGACTTAATCCCATTACCTAATCGCACACAGTGTTTCTGCCCAGCTGTGTTTTTCCATCATCGAGTCCAGAGCCCTGACGTGCCACACACGATTTGAACTCTCTCACTGTTCCCGCTCTCTGCTCTGAAAGGAAAAGCGACCCCAGGCACAAGGACCAGCCTGTGTCTGGAGCTGCCCCCGAGGTTTCGCTCCTCTGTGGATGCAGAGGTGGTGTTTCAGGCGGGGTTGCTTTGGGAAACCTCTGCTGAGGCTCTCGAGGCTAGAGAAGAAACAACAAGCAGCCGTGTTGCTACGGTTGGGATGCTGCTGCTCGCCCATGGAGTCCTGGAGGGCTGAGCTCATTCTCCACCCCGTCTCCTGGGGATGCTCCAGGTCGTCGGGGAAGTCAGGGCAGCCACACCTCCCTCCCCACCGTGCCAGCTCTCCCAAGTGCACAGTGGCTGGGTCTTGTCCCCTCTGGCAGCAGACACAGGTCTGTTTTTCCCTGTCCTGTGGCCATGAGCTTTGTTTAATATTTGACATGCCTCGTTAGCAATGCTTTACTTTAGAACGCTCCACATTAATGGGACCATGTACACCACTGGGCGATAGGGCAGTGTGTGTCCCTGGCACAGGGTGAGTCCCTCCTCACCCTCTGCTTTCCCCTCTGCATCTCAGCATTTTCATTAGTTTTCTTTTCTCTTTAGAACTTTACTGCCTTGATTCCTGGGACAACAGTGGAGATTTTGCACAAAGATTCCAAGAATATCATTGAGCTGATCGTCAAAGCCTACAATGTAAGTGCATTTTAATACTGCAGCTGCTGAAGGGTGAAGTGCCAAGAGCTCAGCCACCTTGGCTCCCCTCGGCAAGCTCCACACGGCTAGGCCACCTCCCTCCCCGTCCTCTGCATGCTGCTGGAGCTGGGATGTCCATCCTGGAGAGGCAAACAAGGTGTGTGAGGAGGAGAAGGAGCATGGGGATATCCAAGAGAGGCTGCAGCACAACACGAATTTCACCCCACGTCTTTCATGTGCTGAATTACCCTTAAAATACAGCCCCCATTTAAAACAGTTCTCTCTCAGAGCACCCTACCAGTAGGTAAAATAGATTATTTCTTTGCCTCAGTTTCCCAGCTGTAACATACATCCATACCTCCATTTCATCACCGTTCAAACCTTTGCAGATAGATGTAAGCTAATATAAAATATTGGGAATTTGATGCTCCCACCCCTGCTCCCTCCCCTTTCTTTGTGAGCTTTCCAGTGCTGCTGGCTGGAAACCACTAGGATGCTTAGACAAAGACACCCCATGGAATGAGCTCTCTGGGATGATCAGTTGCTGAAACCAGGGCTGGTTTCTTGCCTGTTGAGCTGGGTGGTGGGTGCAGGCTGGGACCCCCAGGCGTGCTGCTGGGAGCTGGCAGCTCCTGCCTGCACTGCGGGCAGCCTGGGGCCGCCGGAAACCTGGCACCCACCCAGCCCATCTCCTCTTGGTAGCTTTGGTTTTTTTTTTCTTGAAATGAAGGAGGAAATTCTCACTGAGGGAGAAGGCTAAATTTCCGTTTCCCAAGTGGGAGTGACCTTTTTTAATTCCTCATGGAAAGGAAGCTCAGCCTAGAGAAATCCTTCATTTGTGGCAGGAACTGTCTTCGGTGGGGTGGCAGTGGCTTGAGGTCTGGGTCTGGCTCAGCCTCTCCCCATCAGTGCTTTGGCCCCTCCTGTCTGCTTCCCTCCACCAATGTGTATATCAGACTTGCTCAGGGCTTAGGTTACCCTCAAGATCCCTTTCCCCTATCTCTACATCTTCCATCTCCCTTTTCTCTTGCCTGGCATGCTGTTGCCTCTCCCTCATCCTGCAGGGCATGAAGCAAAAGAGAACAGGGACTGCTTTCTTTCTGACCTCACTAAAAAAACCCTCCTCCCAAATCTCAGCATACCTGGGAGATAAAAAGGCTCCAGGGGAGCTGTGCTGGGGCACGTGGGCTGGGTTTGGACCAAAGAGGGCAAATGGGATGTTGGTTTGAAAATCACTTTCCTAAACCAAATCCAGGCAAGTCTTGGATGTGTAATGGTGCAAATGGGCTAGTAATAATGGCATTACCATGAGGTTAACAGCATGACTATATAGGGCTAATAAGAAATCTTGGCATCTGTGTAAGAATGTAGGAAAGGTCATACTGAGGTCTGGCCTGGTGTCCTGTTTTCTGCCATGCCACATATGAGATGCTCTGGGAAAGGAAACAGGGGAGTGTATCAGTGTGGCAGCTAATTTCTACAGAATAATTTTGGGCAGAGCAATATCCTTAGCTTTATCAGCACACATAGCATTCAGCCAACAGGCAATGGATGTTCCATATGGTCCGAATTGCCACCCCATGAACAGCTTCTCTGTTACAGCAGAGAGATGGGAAATTATTCTGTTCTTTCCTCAAGGACTGTTTAGATTCACAAGGCCAAAACGAATTTATTTCCTGTCCATTCCAAAAATGTTGGCTCTTTGCTAGGGTGTGAACCCTGGTTTTGTTATCATATGTACTGGCAAGAGGTCTGAATTAGTACTTTTCTTTAATCTGTCCACTTTGGTGAGAGTAGGGGAGAAGGAAGAAAGGTATGGAGCTGCAAACTGGCATTGGAAAATAAGTATAGTTGTACAAAAAGCTCCATTTTGGAAACCTTCATCATTTTTGGACACCACTCATATAGAAGTCAGTTCCAACCATTGGAAGAATTAAACAAAACAATGTCATTCTGAATTAATATTTATAAACTTCATTTTGTTGTGACTTAAAAAGTCAGTGTGTGCAGCAGGGCAGAGAGATGAGAGGCAGAAGAAAGGGGGTAGGAGCATACCAAATCTCTGATGGAAAACACCCTTCACTTTGAAAAGTTTTGCAAAGACAGTTTTCATTTGTGGTGTTTCCAGCTGACACTTATGAAAGGGTGCTCTTTCTTTAGCATTTTCTCCTAAGAGGGAAAAATTTTTCTGACCAGTTGGGTGAAATGAATAAAGCAGGACAGAGTTAGTGCAATTTTGCACCTTCCCTATACTGTACAGTGGAGAATCAGGCTTTGTGCTTCACTAAGGGGCTGGTTTACGGGGAGGAAGATGTGCACACAAATCTCTGACCTTCAGCTCAGAGATGCTCCCTTTGTGGTTGAGAATGTTTTCTTCTTTCTTTTTCTTGTGCATCCATATATTTTCAGTACTGGCTACAGTGCTCGTCACACCCATCCTAGAGGGCATAAGACACCTGCAGGGATTGTAGGTAGCTCCCTGTGAGTCTTGTTATGTTCATCAGAAATCTTCTGGGCTGGTTAAGTCAAACTCAAATGTCAATGTGTGTGCAGGGGTGACTTTTTTTCATATAGGTGCAGAGATGTCCTAGCCACCCTCTGGAAACATCAGGAGAAGAGACTAAAGCAGAAGAAACCCACCTGTCTTTGGGAGCCTGATGGTTTGCTTTCCCATTGTGTTTCTAGAGTATTCGATCCAAGGTGGAGCTGACAGTCTGGGACAGCCCTGAGGACATTGGGTTGACCTTCACTGCCACATGCCAGGATGGATTGTCCTATCCTGGGCTCAGAAAGTGTGGGGATCTCAAAATTGGAGATACGGTGAGTCTGCCTTTCAATCTGTTCCCTGGAGAGGCTGTTTCACCCAATTCCCTCTCTTGATGATGGTCCTGGGCAATAAAATACAGTTTTGCTCATTTTTCTCTGCTCTCCTCATGCCATGCCACATTAATATAAACTCACAGAGAGTGGCTTTGCTAGAAGTAACTCTGGGTGGTATAGATCAGGCCAAAGTTAGCTGTGATGAAAGGGGGAATATAGGCATCTTGTCTACAGCACTGATCTAAAGGTCTTGATTAGGCAGCAGAATGCAATAGACAGGAATGGGCTTTCTTTCATGTAATCCCAGATATTCACATCACACTCTCACCTGTGAAATTTTTATTTCCATGATCTGCTGGTCTTTTCCTGGTCTATTAAATATTCAAGGTTTTCTTGTTATTGTTTGAGACTCCTGTCTTGTATCTGAAATAGTGTGGCCAGCAGGACTAGGACAGTGATCATCCCCCAGTACACGGCACTGGTGAGGCTGCACCTCGAATCCTGTGTTCTGTTTTGGGCCTCTCACAACAAGAAATACATTGAGGTGCTGGAGCAAGTCCAGGCAAGGGCAGCAAAGCTGGTGTGGGGTCTGGAGCACAAGTCTGCTGAGGCATGGCTGAGGGAGCTGCAGCTGGAGAAAAGGAGGCTTGGTAGGACCTTATTGCTCTCTACAGCTATCTGAAAGGAGGTTGCAGTGAGGTGGGTGTCAGTCTCTTCTTCCAGGTAACAAGTGATAGGACAAGAGGAAATGGCCTCAGCTTGCACTAGAGGAGGTTTAGATTGGATGTTGAGAAAAATTTCTGCAATTGCCAGACATTGGAATGGGCTTCCCGGGGGAGTAGCGGAGGTACATCCCTGGAGGTATTTAAAAGATGTGCATGTGTGGTGCTTAGGGGCATGGTTTGGTGGTGGACTTGACAGTGCTGAGTCACCATTTAAACTCAGTGATCTTAAGGGTCTTTTCCAACCTAAATAATTCTATGCTTCTATGATTCTAGTCTAAACCTATCTTTCCTGGAGTTACAAGGTCATGGTTAACTTTGGTATTGCAAAAAAAGACAGGGTGCTCAGAAAGGCAGCAACCCTCCTCTCATCTGTTTAGTTCCTAGGGTTATTGAATGGCAGCACAGAGTAAAATTATAGTTTGCCTCTTAATGTTAACAGTATACACAGCATAATCCATTCTGTGCTTTTTAAAAAGCAGAGAAGCTAAGCTCTGCTTGTTTGAATTGAGTATTGATGCAGATAAATGGGTTGCTGGGCTGCAGGGCTAGGACAGGGCGGCTTGGACCTGTGAGGAACCTCCTCCCTCTCTCCAGGCCTTTGCTGTCTGAGGCCCTGGGTGTGGGTTTGTTAGCAGCCTGATTGCCTTATTTGAGAAGAGTGACTCTGCAAACATACCAGAGTGCTCAGTGCTGAGACATACAAAAATAGTTTGAAAGAGTCAACAGTAGCTGGAGTTTTACCCCACCAAATAAGGATCATGCAAAGTGTTAAAAGGGGACACAGCCTAGCTTTTTTATCTGAATTTACAGAATCTTGGATAGGTAGGTAAAAGCAATCCCTGCAGCTCCTTGTTCCCACGACAAGTCCTGAGCCCCTGAGGGAGCTGAGTTAATCTGGTGGTTGATCCTGGGCTCCCAGATTTGGCAGGAGCAGAGGGGTCACTCCAGTCACTGCAGCTTGTACCATAGAGGAATCTGGCAGTGAGTGCAGCAGGGAGCTGGCACTGGTACCACTCCTGCTTTAGGTGCACCCTAAGTATGGAGGTACCTGCACAGTCAGACATGCAACAGGATCATGGGGGTCCCATCCCTCCATCCCCTCTTGTTTGTCTGCTCTCTGCCCCACTGCTTCCACATGGATCAAGACTTGACTCTTGCTAAGAAAGTTTCCCCAAAGAGGATAACACTGGCACTGGACCCTAATCTGCCAGGGTTTAGTCCTGGGGCTGTGCGTGTCAGTGGGTGAAAGGGAGCAGGATTACCCTGATCCCCTTAGCTTGCTTTCTGATCTCCTCCTCTGTAATTTGAGCTCCCATCCTAATTGCTTCAGGCCTTGGGAATGTGAGGGGGTCAAGGGAAGTTTCTGGGGGTGCAGCTCTTCCGCTGGAGGTGGCTGCTGTGCCATTGTCTGCATATCACCCCTTGACATGTGGGACAGTGCAGGCAGTGAGAGCTTGAGGTGACCCACAAATATCTCCAGAGTAAGATCATTCCCTCCTGTTGCCTAGGAAAGGGTCTCAATTCCTTGGAATAAGGTGAATCCTCCTGGTTAACCGGTAGCTCTTGGCAGTGCTATCTGGCCCCATCAAATAGCAGGATTAAATCAGGGGCCAAGCAAGCAGCTATAGTATGGTCGTGGTTTCCTCAAGGAGAAAATCCCTGACAGTGGATTGTAGCTACAGAAAATGAGTAGGTATGTGATATGTAACCATGCAATGATGTATAACCCTTCTGAATCCAGCCTTGATAGATGCATGCATTAAAATTGGCCTGTTAGCAGCGTGCTGAAAGCTTGGGACTTTGTGACAGATGCACATTTCCATGTGCAAATCAGAAGGCCCATGTAACCTTCTAAGTCAATGATCTTGTAGGCATCTCGATACCTTGTGCTGCACTGGTTAGATCTTTGATAGTGTATGTTTTGTGGAGTTTATTGTTTTAAATAGCATGAAAACTGGGTTATTTGCTAGAGTTTTGCCCTGTTTATTTAATGGGATTAGGCAGGTTCCTTCCCACTTCACAGAAACCAGTGGTCCCTGACGGGGAAAATTGCTGTGAATGGCTGACAGTAAAGAGTTTTGAAATGCTAAGGATACTCAGTCCCTCATGGTACTGGCAGATGTTGGTGCACTGAGCTGCAGGTGCTCCTGCTGGATGTGCAATTGTTTGGGGTGTTTTGCACACCTGGAAATGGAGCTCAATACACTGAACTGGCCATGCTCCATGGATTTTCCTCAGGACGTCTTCTCTTATCTCCTGCTTTCCTTCCTGGTGCACCCTTGACAGCTGTTTTGGGGCCATGCCTGTTAACTCCCATCTCAACCCGCCCTGCAGGTTTCCTTCGAGGTGGCTGTGGAGGCACGGAGCTGCCCTGCCGAGAACACCTCCCACACCTTCACCATCAAGCCTGCTGGATTTCGGGACACGCTGGAGGT